TCCTGACCCTGGAGGCTCTGACCTCTAGTCTTCCTGAACCTGGGGGCTCTGACCTCTAGTCTTCCTGAACCTGGGGGCTCTGACCTCTAGTCTTTCTGACCCTGGAGGCTCTGACCTCTAGTCTTCCTGACCCTGGAGGCTCTGACCTCTAGTCTTCCTGACCCTGGAGGCTCTGACCTCTAGTCTTCCTGACCCTGGGGCTCTGACCTCTAGTCTTCCTGAACCTGGGGGCTCTGACCTCTAGTCTTCCTGGACCTGGGGGCTCTGACCTCTAGTCTTCCTGACCCTGGAGGCTCTGACCTCTAGTCTTCCTGAACCTGGGGCTCTGACCTCTAGTCTGCCTGACCCTGGGACTCTGAACCCTGTGAGCTGTATCTGCTTCCTTTCGCAGCAGTGAGTAAGCACATAGGGGCACAAACTGTTCACGGAGAAATGGAATGAAAGGAGAACAGCATTTTCCCTTCTGAAACTCCCTTGCAACTCCCTTGCCCCCATCTGGAGGTCGTTTGTTGCGGTGGCTGGCCATGCTGGGCCTGGGCCTCCAGATCCCTGTGGCCAACACGCCCGGAGACCCCTAGTCCTGCTTGTGCCCACCTGGGCAGGACAAGACCCCAGCAGCCAAGGGGTGCTCCAGGAGGATGCCTAGCCCTCCCTGCCCTGTTTTCACATTCCTTCCTCCCCCAGATTTCTCACCACTTAGAGTGGGTCCTCCCACCTCTTCCTCCCCAGCTCATGGGATATGTAGAGCCCACCTAGTAGGAAGCTGTGTTTCCTCTCAACTTCCCATGACCCTGCCTGCAGCCCCGCTCCACCATGAAGGGTAGGGGACCCTGGATCAAGGAGGAGGCCACGGATCTTAGGGGACCTGGGGCAGGGCTGTCAGAGAAGCCCCGTGGTCTTCTCCTCTGCCCACTCTGGACCTCAGTGGGGCTCATGAGGGCTGTCCCAGCTTCAGCACTGGAAGCCATGCCTGGGAGTCTCCTGACATAGGCAGACTGGGACAGCTGGCCACCCCTGGCTGCCCAGCACCAAGGCTGCACTGTCCAGCTCCTGCTGGACATCAGTGACTGGGGGCCCAGGTGGGAGGGGCCCTGTGGCTGTGAGGACAGAAGGGAGCTGGAGACGCAGCCCCCTCCCCAGCCCTGCCAGCCTGCCCCCGGAAAATCATGCCCAGCTCCGTGCCCAGGACGACTTTTCTCATTTTTCAGAGATGCCATCATTACCACCTCCGTCAACTCCCTGACCAGCTTCTTCTCTGGCTTCGTCATCTTCTCCTTCCTGGGCTACATGGCACAGAAGCACAGCGTGCCCATCGGGGATGTGGCCAAGGATGGTGAGTGCCCCTCTACGCCCCACCCTACACAGCCAAGTGGCTTCCCTCAGAGACAAAGGAGCAAGCGCCAGTCCAGGTGCCTGCGAGTCAGCCACAATCCCCGAGTCACTACAAGCCAGGTGTGCCAGCACAGAGCTGGCCCTTCCTTGAGGGGCTTCAAGGGGACGTCTTCCCTAAGATGATCTCCAGGCCCTTCTTCTGAGGCTCCTCTCGGTGGACTTGAACTCCCAACGTTTCAGGGAACAGCCGAACTCATCAACCATTTGCGCTACCCAGAGACTACATATGGAGTTAACCAAGACCCCAACCAAACTCATCAAGTCAATTCTGACTCATAGCGACCCTATAAGACAGGGTAGAACTGCACCTGTGGGGTTCCAAGACGGTAAATTTTGATTGGTGCAGAAAGACTCATCTTTCTCCTGGGGGATGGCTGGTGGTCCCAAACTACCGACCTTGTGTTAACATACCAAGACATAACCATTATGCTACCAAAGTTCCTTAGCCGGAGACTACAAAAGGAGTTAATTAGTGCTTCTGAGACATAGTAAGGAGCCCTGACTGTCACAGTTCAAACCCACCAGCCGCTCCACAGGTAAAAGATGAGGCTGTCTGCTCCTTTAACGATATACAGTCTCCGAAATCCTCTGTGGGGTCACACTATGAGTCGGAATGGACTCTGTGGCAGTGGGTTTGGGTTAGGGTGTAAAACAGCAGGGGCACAGAGTTTAGGCATCAGGCTGCTTAATCAAGAGGCTTCAGGTTCACGTGCACACAGAGATGCACAGGAAAGGAGGACTGGCATTCGACTTCCCAAAAGCAGGTCCTGAAGCACAGTCTGCCTGACACACGGGGTCGCTGTAAGTCCCAATCAACTTATTGGCAATGTATTACTTTTTAAATAAGATATAGTTCCTTGAATTAATGCTTGTATAGCCAGCACCTGTGTGAGGTGCAGCAACTGAGCTTGTGACTGAGTAGGACAGGTACCAGGAGGAGGCACAGGTAGGAGACACCAGCTCTGGGCAGGAGCAAGCCAGAGTCCCATGAGCCCCTGCAGGGAGCTGGCTGTGGAGGGATTCAGGTGGTTGTCCCCCTCCTGGGCATTTAGGGGCCCTGCTGGTATACTGGTTACTCTCTGGGCTACTCACTACAGAGTTAGCAGTTCCAAACCACCAGCAGCTCCGTGGGCGAAAGATGAGGCTTTCTACTCCCATAAAGTTACAGTCTAGGAAACCCACAGCAGTGGGTCTACTCGTGGGCAGTGAGTTTGTTTTGAGTTTTAGGTTGGTTCTAAAAGGGGCCCTGGTGACATAGTAGGTTGTGCATTGGGCTGGGAACTGCTAGCTCAGCGGTTTGAATCCATCAGCTGTGCCCTGGGAGAAAGATGAGACTTTCTAGGTCCCTAAAACGTGACTGCTTCCGAAGCCCACAGGGACAGTTCTATCCCATCCTCCAGAGCCACTGAGAGGCAGAACGGACAAGAAGGCAGGACATCTGGATTGAGTTTTCTTGGTTGGTTCTAGCACTTTGAATCAGGCATGTGAGGATGGCACCGGACCAGGCTGTCCCAGGGTCACTGCGGGTCCAAGCCAACTCCATGGCACTTAACCACGACCATGACAGCACTTTGAGTGGGGAGGAGATCACGACGCAGCCAGTCTTGAGTTGGGGCTGCCCTGAGCTCCAGTTTCTGGGCAGCTACGGTACTCCTCACTTGCCTTCTAGATTGTTCTGAGGGTGAGCGGATGACGCAGAGACCAGAGACTGCCCCAGTCCAGGGGTCTGCTTTCCATCGGATGTGGGAGGGTCCGCTTCCTCTATACTTGGTTTTGCTGGGTGAGGACGAGCCACTGTTCTCTCAAGCCCAGCAGAGCTGGAGTGGGGCAGGCACACTGCCTGTCCTCTCCGGGCAGGGCGGGGGGGATCTCTGTCCATGTGGATCCTGCTGGGGGACGCGGGCGTGGGGCGCATGAGCACACAGCTGGGGCTCCGGCTTCCTTGTGCACTTGGATCTTAGAGGAACCCTGGGAGAGGAGACTTCACCAGTGGGAGTCAGAGCTGGGGGCTTGGGAACTTGCAGGGGGAAAGCAGAGGGCCGGGTGAAGTCCAGGTGTGTGTGTTTTTCTGAGTCTGTATTCTCTCCCCTCGGGAAAAATCCAATAAAGGCAGGAGAGGGGCATAAATGCAAATAGATAGCAGCCAGCAGTGAAATTTACCCACTGCTGCGTTCATGCATTTTCGCCCTTCTTTCTGCCCTTTATTATGATAACGAGTCAGCTTGCAAAACGCCCAGGTAGGCCCCCACAGTAAAGCTTACTGTCTTCTATGCATTTTTGTGATGATCCAAGTAAATGTCATTTATAACTCCAATTCTCGAGGAAATGGGGGTGGGGCTGGTGGTGTTAACAGTATGGAAATGAATGGCTAAGAGATGGACACAGCATTCAGCCAAGCTAAGGACTACTTTGGACAGCCAGCCAGGAGAGACCAGTGCCTGAAGAAGGACGTCACACGTAGCAAAGTAGAGGGGCAGCCTAAAGAGAAATCCCCTCGATGCCATGGACGGACGCAGTGGCTGCAGCCACGGCGCCAGACCTCAGCACGATTGTGAGGACGGCGCAGGACCGGGCAGTGTGTGTAGGGTGGCTGTGAGTCAGAACCAACTTGCTAGCGCCCAGCAGCAGCAATGAAGAAGACCTTCCCGTGCCCTTGGCTCCTGGCTTTGAGACTGGAGAGCTCCTCAGAGGGACCTGCCCACCCGTGTGGCAAACTGGGTCCTTTCAACTGTTGCCCTCTGCTGTGTGGCTGGTAAACATTAGATGCTCCCCAGTCTGCTCCCCATGCCGGGTGACCCCATGCATCAGGAAATGCATGGCATTCAGCCACTAACTTTTTGGTCAGTGTTTGAACACTTCCCTGTTGCCCATCTAAACCCAAACCAAACTCACTGCCATCCAGTCAATTCTGACTCTTAGCACCCCCAAAGACAGGGTCAAACTGCCTCTCTGAGTTTCCCAGACTTCACCTCTTTACGGGAGTAGAAAGCCTTGTCTTAGTCCCAGAGAGTGACTGGTGTTTTCAAACTGCTGACCTTCTGGTTGGCAGCCCAGTGCGTAACCACAATGCAACCAGGACTCCCTGTTACCTGCTATAGTGCCTCTGTATTCATGGTGTGTGGTTTTTAAAGATTAACAGAGTAATTTGTTGACACAAAAAAATAATTATACTATTTCTCTGCAGAATGCAAAATGAAGGCCACTAAATTGTGTGTATGGGTATGCATGTGTTTATATGTGTGTATGTTTGTGGGGGTGCGTGCATTTGTGGGTATGGATATATGCATGTGTATATGTGTAGGGATATATGCATGTGTTTATGTGAGTATATGTGTATGTACGTGTAGCTATGTGTGTTTATATGCATGTGTGTGTCTGTGTATGTGAGGGTCTATGTGTGTGCATAGTTATGTCTGTGTGTATGTATATTTGTGTATATGTGTGTTTATTCAGTGTGTGATTATATGCACATGTGTGTTTGTGTGTACATGTGTGTGCTCTCATGTGTATAAATGTGTATGTATTTGTATGTGTATATAAATGTGTATGTGAGTGTTTATGTGTATAGGTATGTGTGTTTATTGTGTATACATATGCACATGTTGTGTGTGTGTGTTCACTGGGTGTATGTGTATATGTGTATCTATTTGTGTGTATGTGTTTATTGTATGTATGTAGCTATGTGTGGTGTGTATCCATGTGTGTAATTATTAGGGTATGTATGCGCATGTTTACTGTGTGCATGTGGATCTGTGTTGTGTGTACGTGTGTTTGTTGCGTGTATATGCATGTGCTGTGTGTATTCATGAGGATGAAGGTGCAGAGGGGCCCCGGGAGCCCCTCCTCAGCTCTGGTTCCCACTTCCTCCCCTGGATCTGGGCTCCCGTTGCCCAACATGGACATGTGTGATTGGGGGCCAAGGCCGCAGGGCTGGTGGTGACTGATGTGTTTCTGGTCACTGTTTTCTAGAGTCTGGGGCCGAGTCATTGCGGGGGCAGCTGTCAGGGAGCAAAGGAGAGCCTGGGCCAGTCTCAGGGCAGGTATTGGGCTGGGCGACTGCCAGACTCCTGGGATGGGCCGGCGGGGAAGGACCAGCTGGGACAGCGATGGCCTTGTGGTTCCAGGGCCTGGGCTGATCTTCATCATCTACCCCGAAGCCATCGCGACGCTGCCCCTGTCCTCAGCCTGGGCCGTGGTCTTCTTCATCATGCTGCTCACGCTGGGCATCGACAGCGCTGTGAGTCCTGGCAGCCGGCTGCCTCCCCTCGGGCGCCACGCCTTGTATCCCAGAGCCCCTGGGGGGCTGGAGTCCCCTTTGTGGAGCCTGGGTGGCTGAGTACAACTGGCCCTCCCATCTTCGCCCTCTGAGGCATCAGTCTCCCTACTCTGAGCACCCTGGACTCTGGACATGCAGGGACCCTCAGGCTGCGCTGGAATAGCAGGGGGGTGGGAACGTAGAGCCCCTGAGCTTCCACCTGAGGAATAAGCATGTCCTGTGGCCAGGGCTGCAGCAGGGCCCCTCAGCTGAGCCTGACCACCTGGCTTTGTATGCATCTGGTTTCCCCAAAGTCTAGAGGCAGCAGGCAGGTGCTCACCCGGCCCTGGGCCTGCAGGGGTGTCCAGGACCTGACAGCTGGGACCATGGGGTTGCACTTGGATGCCTGGGCTTCCATGGTGTTTGCTGACTCTGAGAGGCTCCAGACTCACATTCCCAGGGGACACAGCCTCCATCATAGATGGGCCTTTTCCATGAGCTTCCCCTCCCTATGAGTGAGGGGAGCCCCATCCCATGGATGAAGGACTGCCCCTGGGTTTGCCAAGACATCTTCTGGTGGCGTCCTGGCTAACTGCCCTCTGCGTTTAGCTCCCAATTACTGTCCAGCTAGGTCCTGACCCACTGGGTGGCCCACGGCCTCTGGGATCCCTGGGCTTCTGGTGGGATGAACATGCCCCCTGGAACAGGTAGACATTGTAGAACATGGGGACACTGGTCCCACAGCTCCTGGGACGATGCTCTGTCGTGGCCTTTGTGAGCCATTGAAGTTTGCTGGTGAGAACAGAGCTGCCAGCCAGGCTAGATTCGCCCTAGGAAGCCAAAGGGAAGCCTTGTGCGGCACCAACCGTGGCTTAGAACCCCTGGCCTCACCAAACCCTGCTGGGCTGCCCATCCGCCGTGGCCACGGAGCGGATGGCCTCCGGCCTCTGCGTTTTTGCAGTTAGCTCTCTGTGGCAGTTCAAACCTCCGAGGACAATGCAGCTCTTGCGCATGCCCCCCGTGGAGGGTGCCTCCCCTGGGCCTCTGGCCGGGGCACCTGGGTGACCCAGGCGTGGGCCTTCTCTGTGCCGTGGGCGGCTCCAGATGGGCGGGATGGAGTCCGTCATCACCGGCCTCATCGACGAGTTCCAGCTGCTGCACCGGCACCGGGAGCGCTTCACTCTCTTCATCGTCCTGGCCACCTTCCTCCTCTCCCTCTTCTGCGTCACCAACGTAAGTACAGTCACCACCGTCTGGAGGCGGGTGACAGGGCTCAGTGCAAAGAACGGCTGTCAGACAACATGGCCGTCTTTGGGGCCTGGTGCTGGGGAGACGGGAGGGTGCTGTCAGTCAAACCAAATCATTCTAACCCAGCTGCTCTTCTGAAAGCCTCTGGACTGTTGGGGTGGGGGTGGGGGGGTGCGGGTCCCCAGCACGCATTCCTACAGCACCTGGTCAGCTCTTTGGGTGGTGCCCTGACTGGAGCCTCCTTGCTGCCGGCTCTGTGGGACTGAGGGGCATCCCTCGGGATCCTCAGGGGCTGGGGGTGGGGTGGGGTCCTCTCCTCTCCTGGAGGAACCACTGCCGAGTGTGGCATTGGGTGGCTTCTGGGCGGCAGGGGGAGGGAGTGGAGAGGTGGTGTCCGTTTTGTGCAGTGCGCTGCATGAGAGTTGGGTGTTAGTGATGTGCCAGACTTGGACAGACACCATCCGGAAGGACAGACACCGTGGGGCAGGGACCCTGCCGTGTGGCCCCGAGCTCAAGAGACATGCTCTCACTCCCAGGGTGGCATCTACGTCTTCACACTGTTAGACCACTTTGCAGCCGGCACGTCCATCCTCTTTGGGGTGCTCATTGAAGCCATCGGGGTGGCCTGGTTCTACGGTAAGTCAGAGCCTGGGGTCCTGGTGCTGGGACTCTTCCCTGGGGTAGGGGAGCGGGGGGAGCTGGCATTCTGCCCTGTCTGTCGCCAGCTGAGCTGGCTTCCCTGTCTCTCATCCCCACGCTGCCTTCTTACCAGCAAAGCTGCTCTGCAGACAAAGGTGTCTCAGAAAGCCTGCTTCAGCACACAGAGAAGGGAGGGTCCCCTGGATCGATAGTTCGCCTGGATGGCAGCCCAGCGGTCCACACCGTGGCCAGAGCTGCTTAGTGTGGCTTACTTTCTCAGGTGATGTCACTCACTGGCATTGAGTCTGTTCTGACTCAGTAACCTTATAGGACAAAGTAGGAGTGTACCTGTATATTTTCAAAACTGTAAATCTAGAAAGCCTCATCTTTCTCCCCAGGAGTGGCAAGTGGTCTTGAACGGCTGGCTTTGTGGTTAGCAGCCCAGCGTGTAACCCACTAAGCCACCCTCCTAGTTAGTAAGAAAGTATGTTAAGTCGGGACGTTGGGATCCTTAGACCTGAGGGTCGTGGTAGAGAGGTGTCTTACCCTCCTACTCACAGACCACCAGCGGGAGGCCTGGAAGAGCAGGGGGCTCCTATTTAACCTTTTCTGTGAATTGGGTGAAGGTTTACAGAGCAGGTCAGTTTCCACTCAACAGTCCCCACACATGGTGTTTACCCTCTGCTCCTGCCTTGGTCCTCAGCCCACTTCCTCCCAGATTCCTGTCTCTGTGCCTCCTTCCCTCACCCTTCTGAATGATTGTCTCTAGGTAAAACAGTCAAACACCAAACCTTGGTCCTTGGCCCTTTGTCCATTCATTGCTATTCTGGGCCGTGCAGACCTCACCAGGGTTAGGGTTACTTTATTGTCTATTGTTACTGTTACATGTCTATTGTTTGACTTAAAATTGATCTGTGGGGTGTGAGTGTGTGTGTGTGTGTTCAGTTCCAGGCCTGAAGGGCAACTCACAGCCATAGTCTAGTCTTGAGGGTCCCACCAATCTCTAGATGACTCGCCATCCTTACCCTTTTCTGATTTGGGAATCTAGCTCCACAGTTTCCTCCCACTCTATCCTAGGCCTTCT